CAGAATCCTTCTGCCCAAAAGTATTTCACTGCTGCTACTGAAAGGGCATAGGAATGCCTTCCAGGGGGCTATTAGAAGCAAAACCTTGTATAGGACCTTCTGGCAGGCACAGCTCGGACAGTCTGAGTGCCTGTAGTCATGTCCCTTTAAGAATAAGTTAGGCCAAGGAAAATTAACAGTCAACTAGGTTGACCAAATACTTACAGAACACATTTCACACACAGGACTCAAGGAGGGATAAATATATGCTAAGCTAGAGTCTCCGATAAGCTTTTAGGAAGGCTAGACTTTTAGGAAGATTGTTTAGGCAAACAATATAAGGTGGTATTCAATTAAATATTTAATGGTATCTTACTAGGAATGCTCTAGGAGTTGAGGAAGCAAGAGCATTAAGAAGAGCTAGGATAGGGGAGGTAGGCCTTAAGTTGCACTTGAAAAACAGGTGAGGTTTGATTAGATGGAGAGAGGAAAGGATTTCTAAGTTCTCAGAAGGCAAGAAAATAGACACATATATTGTACTCACCTTGTGTTTTAACACAGTCAAATGATAACATCAAGTTAATAGTGCCTTCCTGCTGGCCACTCTGTAGAACAGAGAAATCCAATGATTTTTGCCAAATACGAGTGTTAGAGAAGCCCACAGAGCAAGGGAGGCAAGCCTGGTGACATCAAAATGAGACCGGAGTCCGCAAACACAGACATGGCACTGTGTGTAGCTTTACAGTACCTTGATCCCCATGTTGGACCCTATTGGGCCCCTCGCCCCGGGCAGACTCTGCAGGCCACATTCCGCGTTCCCACTTAGTTGACTTCCAACGTAGTGCCAGGCAGGACTGCTCTCCTTTCTCGTATCGTCCACACCAAGCTTCACACGCACTCTCCCAGCATTCATCCTGCAATCCAGTGGGCCTCAGCTGGAGGCATACATTGTAATCACCTGGGGCATGGGCCACGGCCCCACCTGCACGGGCTGATTTCATTGATCTCGGGTGGAACCTGGGTACCAGGATATCTGTAAGCTCCTCGGGAGCTCTGATGCTCAGCGAAAGCTGAGAAACTCCTGGTTTCCTACCTGCCGGGGAGAACTCACCCCAGTCCCACCCTACCTGGCTCAGGTGGAACCATTTGCAGCAAAATGTAAAGAATTTTAACTAGCTGGATAATGGCAGAACTGAAATTCGATTCCGAGTTTCCTGACTTCCATTCGCACTATTTTGCTTCGTGGCCAAGATACTTACACTTAAAGTTCTCTTATCAATTTGATAGGCAAAGTGTGACCGGGAAAACAGAGAAGCCTCCAAAAATACCGATGAAGGTTCCCTCCCCTATGATATTATTATGCCAAGTCCTTTTTGTCTCAAGGACCATTTGAAATCATTCACTGTGATTTTTTCTTTTTTTATTTAAATTCAATTAGCCAACATTATTGGTTTCAGACGTAGTGTTCAAGAATTATTCACTGTGATTTTCATTCACAGTCATTACAAATCATTCCATTTGTATCATTCACTGTGATTTTCAAGATGCTTTCAGTCCGCTCTCAATGGCAGACAATGTATAGCACCTTAGCCTGAGTTCCACTCCTCTGATTTCTGGTTATGAATTTCCAGTTCCTGGGGAAGAGGCTTACATTTGAGTCAGAAGTAGCCAAAGGGGGTTGGAAGGTGTTTGCTTCTCTCGACCTTTTTTTTTTAAGTCAATCCAGCAGAATAAATGATTGCGTAAGAGGTTTGAGGGTGGGGAAACAGGGAAAATGGCATTCTTTTAGTATGACATTGCCCAAAGCATCTGTGCTACTCTGTAATGCAGAAGGAAAAAAGAGCCCTCAGATCTCTGCTGCTTTTTGCCCACATTTCAATATAATAAATATGTATGTCTAAGACACAGACATGCTCGCAGTTGGCTCTGTTATTCTTACGGAAGTAACAGGATACCTGGTTATGTTAAACAGCATTAGTTTCACCATTAATGCAGATGTTATGTTTTTATTACAGTAATAGTAATACAGTTTTATTTTTAAAATAATTCAGTGCACCTGCCTGCTTGCTTCCATGACCAGGTGCTCTTCTATTTGAAAATAGGGAGCAACAGGAAGAATTGGAAGCACCAGGGAGAACCACACGGGCAGGACTGAATGCAAGCAGCGGGTATTCCCCAAGGGAAGTGGCCATGGAGGCAGCAGTACTGAGCTGGTGATGATGAGGATGGGGACAGGGACGGTGATAGCACCAAGCCCTTATTGAATCCTTCACAGTTGTCAGCCCTCTTCTTGCAGGTTATTTTATCCCCACAGCAAACTCACTGTGACTCTCCAGATAAGGAGACTGAGGCCAAGGGGCAGTTACAGCGGCTTGCCCCAAACCACACGGGTCAACTTCCCTAACACAAATGTGAATATCGCCCTCCTACTCAGTTCTTTTACTTGGTAATGTGTCACCACGACCCCGAGGCAAAGTTAATGCAGCTAAGGTTGACTTCTCTTGATCCTCAGCAGCGTCGTTACTTTGCCATTATTTTTTAATTACCAGATTTTTATTTTTGTCATGGAAATATCCAAGAGGGCAAAGTATTTTTGTTCCATGTCTCACGTAGACAGCCGACAGGTTTGCCAGGAAATCACTATTGGAATAAATCTGGAACCATCACCATCCCTGAGGGACATTGCCCATCAGGTGATTCCCAGAGCAGGAAGAAGACAGGCAGCATGGGGCATCTGGGGGGGCTCAGTTGGTTAAGCATCTGACTCTTGATCTTAGCTCAGGTCTTGACTTCAAGGGTCTTGATCTCAGGGTCATGAGTTCAAGCCTCAGGTTGGGTTCCATGCTAGGCATGGAGCCTACTTAAAAAACATTACAAATAAAATACGACTGCAGCAAGCCTGCAAAATGTAGTTACCATGAGCGTAATCCCTGATTATGCCTTGGATGGGCACAATATTCCACTTGGTGTGACAGGTGCCTCTCTACCTCTGATTTTCCCTCCAACAGTTTCTGAGGGCAAAGCCACATGCTTTTTGGTTTTCTCCTCCCTTTGAACAATTCTTCCTAATCCCTGCACTTCCTAATGTTTATATCATCGCACCATTGATCAAATATGCCTTTGAAATTCACCTTAAACAGATTTTGCCTGTATTAAACTGATAAGAAAGGGGAGAGAAGTTTCTTTGCTCTAATCTGTACCAGGCCCCACATGCCTAGGAATGGCCTTCCTCTAATCCCTCCAACATTCTTAGAATGATGCTTTTCCAACTATATAGTATCTTGATTGCCTATGGGAGAGAGCTAAATAATGTTTTAAAAAAAGAGAAGAGTAGAATTCCAAAGGAGGGAGATCCACATCCATTAGTCTACAGATTTTCTTTGGCTGCCTTCACTCTACAACAGCAGAGTTGAATAATTGCAAAAGAGACCATCTGGCCCACAATATCTAAACTATTACCTCTCTGGCCCTTTATAGAAAAACATTTTCCAACCCCTGATCTAGACAATCCAAAATCTTACCAGGAAGTTTTCTCTTCACTCACTGAGGATCTTGACCCAAGTAAATCTCTAGGTTTCTTTCTATTGATATATCCAGAGGGGAACGATTTTCTGTGGAAAAGCAGAGCACATCAGGAGTGGCTGAGACCCGGATAGATACATGATCCGTTGAAGTAGTGCTCACCTGCAGGACAGGGAAATCTAAAGCCTACAGGTGCCAAGCAGGTAACATAAATTGCAGTAGGCCCGGTGGGGGCTCTGGTCTAGAGAGCACGCACTCACCTTTGGGGCAGTTCCAGCTGGGTGGCCTTGCAGAAATGTGGGCCCAGTGTTATCAGAACCTCTGGATTTTCAGGACCTCCTGGAAATTTGTTTTTGTAAAATCCCCTAACTGGTTAAAATTTAAAAGAAAGTAGGAGAAAACCAACATAACACTGTGCGTTAACTACACTAAAATTAAAATAATAAAAATAAAAGAGGGCATCCGCACAAAAACCTGCACATTATCATTACCAAAATTTAGAAGCAACTCAAGATGTCCTTCAGTGGGTGAATGGATAAACTGCAGTACGTCCATACCGTGGAACATTTTTCAGCACTAAAAAGAAATGAGTGATGAAGCCACAAAAAGACATGGAGGAAACTTAGATGTATTTTCTAAGTGAAAGAAGCCAGTCTGAAAAGGTTACAAAGACAAAACTATGGAGACAGTAGAAAGATCAGTGGTTGCCAGGGGCTTGGGGCTTGGACAGAGAGAGGGATGAAGAGGCAGACAGAGCACAGAGGGTTTTTACAGCAGGGAATCCATTCTGGATAATACTATAATGGTGGATACATGTCTATACATGTGTCAAAACACATGGAATGTACAACACTAGAGTGAACCCTAAGGTAAACTATGGAGTTTGGGTGTAACAATGTGTCGAACATAGGATCAATGATTGTAACAAATGTGCCACCTTAACCATGTTGCCTGTGAATGGAAGAGGAATGGGTGTCCAAGGGAAAAACTGAAGTATCATTTCCAGAATGCATGCTAGGATGCAAAAGCAACAGACTTGCTCGACACTGAGTTACCCAAGTTAGCGAGGGCTTTGTAAATTCCCTCTTCTCTGACCCCATCCTGTGTCAGATAAGATTCTAAACACCAGCAAGTCATTACAGAGATGCCCTCATTTATAGTGAAGTACAAACAACTGAGATTCTTCATAAATATTGAGGACTGTTGATGGTAGACAGCTCTGTCTCAGTGGGAGTTTCCACATGAACAGATCAAAGTGAGAGCAGAGTTCAAGAACTCGTGACAGTCATTAAATGCTTCACGTTTTAGGTAGGATATAAGTGGAACAATTCTTTGGGCTGAAATCAAATCTAGCATCTCACATTAAGAAGATTAATTAGCTAATGTTTATAAAGTACTGTGCAGATATGCCCTTTTAAAATGCTAAAGTATTCTAAAAACTACATTGTAGCATTTTACTAAATGTAAAAGATCTAACATTCATCATTTTTTTGGTACAGGTTGGCAAAGATTCTTTTGGCAAAGACTACATAGAAAACTTAAAACAGAACGATATTTCTACAGGTAAAATTGCATCTTTTTTTAAAGTTAGTTTTTATGACTTTCCTCTGGGATCTGGTTACAAGAACAGTTGAATATAGAATAGAATTATTAGATCCTCCTCTGGTGGCCAGAGAATTTTTATGCACAGCCTCGTCTCTTCTTACTTAAATGTCGTTTGGTTAATTCTTTCATGTACATTCCTCCAGATGGGAATAAAATGATAAGAGTTTACAAACCTTCATCGTAGAAATGTTGCAAAAGCAGGTGACAAGAGAAAACAGGTGCTGCGTTCACAAAAGATATTTTAAGAAAAGTCATTGACTGTCATGGCTGGAAATGATCTTGGAAACCACTGAAACTGATGCCATTGTTGCACAAAGAGAAACTGATGGCCAGATTGGTTCTCAACGTGTCCAAGAGCACACAGCTAGTTGGAGCCAGTCAGGAGCAGAATGCAGGTCTTTGGCTCCGTTTCAAGGCTTTTCGCTGCTGCCAAAGGCCGCCTGATCAACATTTCCATTTACACTCCAGACCATGATTCTTGATGAGATGCAAAGCTTATGAAGAAACACAACCAAGTTCACTGTATAGGTTTGACCCTTAATCTCTCAACTCAAGTCTGTCATTTCTTTCACTGAAGAAAAGAAATGTGACGATCTAGAAGAATGCAGATGTATCCGCTATGATTAATGTGGGCAAACTGGAAGGGGGTGGTGGTTTGCTGGGTTGTTACTAATGTAGAGCAAAGGTGCAACTAAGTGTAAAGGCTTCTGTCTTCCTCGTTGTATAGGTGATGGGTATAAATAAGCGCTAATTGCTTATTTCTTTTATCATTCCAGATGGTTAAAGGTTAAAAAGTTTTTCCAAAGATGAGTGGTGCATTGAAATTGCTAAGAGAGATTATTCATGCCAGGATGTGTGTACATGATTGTAATTTCTTTTTTCTTTTAGAATTTACATATCAGACTCAAGATGCTGCTACGGGAACTGCGTCTATAATTGTCAATAATGAAGGTACATGTTTCGCATATTAAAGTGTCATTTCATGAAGCAGTTCATGTCCAGAACGACAGCAGGAGCATCAATTTTTACCATAATCCTATGGATCTCTTCCCATACCCACCACTCCAAGGCCTCAGGTGTGGTCTTTCCCATCTAACTGTGCACGTTTCCCTTTATTTATACTTCCCAACTTGATCATTTAAATATAAAATTGTCCATCAATACATAGGAAGTGTTACAGTTGCCTCAAAATAATATTTATATCCTGAAACGTCCCATTACCCTTCATATGAACTCAGAATTGATATTTGTCTCTAAAAGCAGTTAAGTATTCATCTGTCATTTCAGTTATACCAGGTAAATAAATGTAAATAGATAGGTGCACAAGAAAGTTAATGAATCATATTTATAGAATATTTACTGAGCAAATGGCAGCAACTAATTACTTCTAACTTATCATTAGTGTTCAATTTTGTCTGCTCTTTAAACGGCAATCAAATCTCAAAAGCCTATATATACAACTATGTCTGTCTGTCACAGGGCCTTGCAACAGTTAAACATTTGTCTTTAAAAACAGTAACTTCCCTTTACCCTCAAGTAAAGTTTTCATCATTTCTGCCAACTATTATAAATATTAAAAAAAACCTATGTGAAATTCTTTAATTCAGAATGAATATTCAGAAGTACCAAGCATTTCATGGGGCACCTCAGACAGAACGTGGTGCATTGTGGGCAGTTAGCGTGCACTTTGTGAAATTAGGATTTGTCATAAAATGTCTTTGATTTGTAATATAGTTTTATACAATCGTTTCTCACAGAAGATATGGTATTTTTAGTTCTATTCTAGTGATCCCAGAGTTGCAATAACAATGAAAAAATGTATTCCACTTGAAGATAAAATTTTTCACTCTAACAATAGACAGTCTGTGTTCATTACTTTCAGCTAAATTTTAAGTAATTATTGCTGTCAACAGCAGTTCATTCCGTCTTAAACCTCTTTTTTGTGTTCTAGGGACTATCTTCGAGTTCCATTTCTTCCTTATCGATGTAGCAAGAAACTACACTTTCCATGCAAAGATATAGTTTAATATTGTGTATTGAGTGCCTATTATGCTAGAACTTGTCTGATTTATATATCGCATATGGTAATGCCCTTGAGACTATAGATTGTCATAGAGGAGCTAACACAAATACCCAGAGAGGGGACCCATCAGCTCCCTTAAGTGAAGGAATGAGTAGCAAGGTAAAGTAAAGAATTCAGTTTTGACAAGTTAAACTGGAGGCATGAATGATCTGGCCATGGCCATGTCTACTGGACAGCTGTAGTCTTGGTCTTGTTGCTTATCAGCCAGGGCCAGGCCAGAAACGTAGATCCAGGAGTCAGCAGCACACATGCAGAGAGAATAAGGTCACTGAAGGAGAAAAGGAAGGAGATATGCTGTCTTTCAGTGTGTGGGTACTTTGAATTTTTCCAGTGCCAAGATTGGGTTTATGCTGAACCATCCCCACCTTATTAAGTTCTGCTTGTGGCCAACAGACACATCTGTGTAAGATGATAGGCTAACATGTGTTCTGTGTTCAGAGGTAATTTTAGGTCATGTCTGTACAAGATCATCACAAGCAGCCTGGAGCACAAAAAAGAAATGACCACTACAACTCATCCCTCTAGATCAGTGCTGTCCAAAAGAAATATAATGCAAGCCACAGACATACTTTGAAATTTTCCATGAGCCACATTTGAAAAAGTCAAATAGGTAAAATTAATCTTAATATACTCACTTAACCTGAAATATCTAAAATAGTCTTTTCAACATGTAATCAAAATGTTCTTAAAAACTACTGAGATATTTTACCTTTTTTTTTTTCTGTACTCAGTCTTTAAAACCTGCCATGTACTGGGTGTTATATGCAACTAATGAATCGTTGAACACTACAACAAAAACTAATAATGTACTGTATGTTGGCTAACTGAACATCATAAAAAAATTTTAAAAAATAAAAATAAAATCTGCTGTGTATTGTACAATTGAAGCACATCTCAATTTAGACCAGACACATTTCAAGTGCTCGACGGCCACATGTCGCTTGGGCTCGTGACTCTCATATGGGACAGCACAGCTCTTGAGGGCTCACCTCACAGATAAAATGTACCCCCACTTCTTCCCCATTTAGGTAGGATTGTTGAGAGTGGGTCCAAGTAATGAGTATATAAGATTCTTACTTCAGCTTCGGTTTGATCTGGTACTCCATAGGGTCAGATATCCCTCTCTTGACCTTAGGTTATCTGGCACAATTTCCCATCTGTTAGATATTATAAAATCTGTTTTGATTTTCAGAATACCCTAAGGTACACACACAAACTGACTGCATACTACAAAGCCTTAGTTTTTACTGTTGGGCAAGTTTACTCCTGTTCGTACACATCATTATGACATCTGTCATTTTGGATTTGGATCTTTACCACATACTCTGTACCAGTCATTTTTAACTATGTTACATATCATTTTCCAGCTAGTATTCTTTGCATATAAGAATATTGATAGGGGAATTATGTTTTAGATTTTACTCAAAATTATCAGAATAATATTAAACCTACAGAGCAGGGATATTGTAAAAGAAGATACAGTAGGAATATAGAATTTCACCGGAATCACCTAGAAATGTCAAAATTAAGACTTAAAACACATTTAGCATTATGACTTTGTAAGGGTGATTGTAACATTGCAGAATATCATCGCTTGGTTTTTAACATGAATATGTGGAAATTCTTTATAGGCCAGAATATCATCGTTATAGTAGCTGGAGCAAATTTACTTTTGAATACCGAAGACCTGAGGGAAGCAGCCAGGACCATTAGCAGAGCCAAAGTCATGATCTGCCAGTTAGAAATAACTCCAGAAACGTCTTTGGAAGCCCTGACAATGGCCCACAGCAATGGAGGTGATTTTATATATTTGTTATTCTTCCTACAAAAGCTTTTATCACTGTTATAGGGAAAGGTAGCCTTTCAAGTTAAGCAAAGCAGTACTTTCCCTGGAGTAAAATATGCTTCCTCCCACCTGTGAGATTCACGGTCTTGTAGTTCTTGATAATGTGAGAAAAGCTTACAAATAGGGTAAAAAAATAACCTGAGTGGCACTACCGATAGCCCGCAATATAAATCCTCAATCTAGTTAGCAGAAATAATACAAGTAGTGACTAGAACCTCAAAAGCAGCCCAGGGCCCAACAGTAGAATGATGGCTTTCCCAAGAAGCAGAGGCCAAACTGCATGTCACGTATCATGACGGTCCAGGTGGGTCTGTTTTGATAAATGTATCTAGGAATTGAAAATTAGCTCTTTCTCCTTTTTGTAATACTCCATCTCTGCTCTGTAAACAACAAAAGATTATTTATATGTAGTATTTTCTGTGTTGTCAATGTCCTTTTAAGCAGTGAGTTGGTTTTGTTTGACCTTCTATATTGGAAATTTTCAAACATACAGGCAGGCAGAATTGCATAGTAAAACCCTTCACCCAGCATCAACAGTTATCAGCACATGGCTAAGGTTGATTTCCCTGTCGTCCCACTCACTCCCCACTTCTGCCCCCAGCAAATCACAAAGTCTTTAAAAATCCACAGTTTCTTTGTGTTTGTTTCTTGCTCACCCTTGACTCCTGCGCAAAGCATCTTCTGAGTTAGAATCCCATTTCTGTTCCTTTTTAGCTTTGCGGTCTCTCCAGAATTATCCGACGTTTCTGAGCCTTGTTTGTTAAATGCATATAGAAATACTCCCCTACAGAATTGTTCTTCTAGAGTGAAACAAAATAAAATACGATGCTGAGCATGATGTAATAAATCTCAATAAATCCCAAATTTCTTCTCCTTTTCACTTCTCTCTTTAAATTTAAATTAGGGTAATATCCGGATCGCAGCACCATTTGGTCAAAAAAAATCAAAAGCGAAAGTTGCCACTCTAAAACAATGGCTTCCTTTTGATATTGCAACTGTAATTCTGTGACTTAAGAGAGAGAACCTTTGGGACGCCTGGGTGGCTCAGTCGTTCGTTAAGCACCTGCCTCTGGCTCTGTTCGTGATCCCGGGGTCGAGCCCACATCGGGCTCTCTGTTCAGCAGGGAGCCTGCTTCTCCCTCTCCCTCTGCCTGCTGCTCCCCCTGCTTGTGCTCTCTCTCTGTCAAATAAATAAAATCTTTAAAAAAAGAGAGAGAACCTCTGACTTTTCCACATAAAACTTTCTTGTCAAGATACAAAACTAAAAAGAGAATAAAAAGAAGTGTGTGTGTGTGTGTGTTTGTATAAGTGATTTCTTCCAAAGTCTACAGCGTTCTACATAGCAATGAAAGTAAGTTACTTGAAATGATTTTGTAGAGAATTTTTAAATGTATGTCCGGATTTAACAAATTTTCCTCTTGGCAAAACAACGTGCCATGGCAAATTCTCACTGACAGTTAATGTATTTTTAATGGACTCGAAGCTGTCAGGAAGAATTCGAAGCCAAAACCCATTTGGTTATGTTTTCTCAGAGTGTCACAGATAGAGTCTAAAGCCATGGTAAGCGTTGCCTGCACTGCACTCCTGTGAATTGAGCGATGTGAATACAACATGCCATTTCATTCTTGCTCCTGTCTTGCCTTCTATAGGTCAGGGCATATTCTCATCTAACTACTTTTACTACTCTCCCTTGCTTCTCAGAGATCACTGTTGCCTCTGTCCTAGTCTAGTTACATGTTAACTACCCAGCCTGTGGAGGAGAGAAAGGTACAGCCACTACAGGTGAGGCTAGAGTTGTCCAGATGGGCAGACAGCCTGACCTCGGGCTGTCATTTGGGTGTGTCCAAAAATGCTTCCTCCATCACCTTCCAGGAAGCTCTGCCAGGGAAGAGCTGGAGGACCTGGGGCATCAGGAATTGGCAGGGGTATGGGGCGCCTGGATGGCCCAGTTGGTGAAGCATCTGACTCTTGATGTCAGCTCAGGTCTTGAACTCAGGGTCGTGAATTCAAGCCCTGCATTAAAAAAAAGGGGGTTGGGAGGGAATGGGCAGGGGTAGTGATGGTAAGCCAAAGAGCACTAGCCAACATGCTTTTACTAAGAGCCAGCATGTCTCAGTATGAATTCCATGTACTTTCATATATATTTGGTCCTCAGAAAAACCTTATGACAAAGATATGGCAGGCATTATTCTCCCAAATTAAAGGTGGGAAGATAGACTTGTTGAGTTTAAGTAATTAGCTCAACCAAGATCATTGTAGAAACCCAGATTTCAGAGGCCAAGACCCAAGTTATGTGTTCTAGAACACACTTTAAAGAAACTGCCACATCCCATTGACTCCAAGGAACTGAGCCTTTATGAAGAAAAATGAAATCCACAAACTGTAACACTGTTCAACATGTAGCCTCAGCTTCGAGTGTTTTTGCTGCTCATTCCTCAGAGACACTAGAGTGCTTTCTGCAATGCGTCCCTTACCCGCTCCCATAAAACACACGCACGCTGCACACACATGCACACGTACTCTGCTGACCAGAACTCAGCTGGTCCTCACTTGGTAGTAACCAGCCAGAAGCAGCTTAGATTCTATACCATGAGTGTGTGTGTGTGAGAATTTACTGTGTTTTCATTCTCAGGTCAGAGAAGACTGATATAGTGAAGGGAGCACTGGTTTGAGAGTCATGACGTTTGGCTTTGAATTCAGAATCCATCCCTTAGTAAATGGGGGACCACACGCAAGTCAGTCAGTTATTCGCTCTGGGCCTCTGTGAAACGAGAACTGGTCTGAGAGCTGTCCCAGCTGCTTCACGTCAGGATGTATGAATGGACTGATCACAGAGCCGAGCAGGCAACGCTTAGAGATGTGTTGAGCACTGCGGGTCCTGGCCATTGCCCCGCGAGACTTGTTTCGTGTGATAACCGGCAGTATTCCATCCATAAGAAGTGGTAAAGTCCTCCTCCTCCTCTGTGGGTTATTATCACAGCTCCCCTATCTGTCCTTAAAAGTAATGAATTCTGAGTTAAACACATTGTATGACTGGATTATATATAGTTGTTAAAATATAGAGAGAAAAGACCCCCCCTCCATCTTTGAACATACAGTTTCAGAACTCTCTCGACTTCACCTACAGGAAAGCATTGGTTTTAAAGGGACAGCACATGCAACATCAGAAATGAACCAGTGGCCCTCGACGGCCACTGGTCATGATGCTGTGAGGCAGGCCCACGGCAGGGCTGGTGCTGCAGCTGCTTGTGATGAAATTACGCATGTCGGGTCTGGTGTTTATATCCATTTCAAAGCAAATGGAACATGACAGGAACGATTATAAATAATTGACATTGTAAGATCGCCAAGAGTGAATTCTAGGTAGGATACAGAATATCTTTTAATGACACTTCAGTCCTTGTCCATTTGGCAAACCAAACTTCTTGGCTGGCCACCTTGACTTTCACGGTGACGTTGTCCAGCCCGTGGCCCAAGTTGGTGGAGTGTTTCTGCTGCTCACTCAACTCACAGAAAACAACCCCTCAAGGGAGACCGCCAAGCCAGCGTTTTGGTTACCCCAGCCTTCCCATGGTTTCTTTACTTAGGGTGACTTTCTTCCTGTTTCTCTGAGCTAATTATTAGAGCCTTCTTAACTGTCCAGCTCCTTCCCTGCATGGTGACACCATTCTGAGCTTCCACCTCGTTTTCCTGGTTCTGCACCTACGCAGCTGCCCTCAGAGGCCTCCCCAGTTCCTCACTGATGCTCTCGTGCCAGCCATTGGCGTGCTGTGAAGACCACCAGGAGTTTAGCCTGTCGGACGTTGTCATGAATAATAATTACGTTGGGTGCTATCAGTCACTCTGCAGCTCCAAGTTACTCCATGGTACCGCTTATGTCTCTATTTTTACATGATTCCAGGATGATATCATTTTTTCCCACCATATCTATCACAAATGTGCATTCTTCTTTGATTAGCGATATCTACTCATTCTTCACGTTTTTTTTTAACCAGGGTGAAGTGTTTATGCTTATTTATGGTGGCATGAGCCAAAGAAGAATCCTTTCTTTATAGCATTTTCATTTTCCCCTAAATTTAGTTACTAGTCAGACTCTAAGCCTATGCATCCAGCCTATTACTGTCCGGCATTGGTCAGAATGCTTTCCTTCAATAAAATACAAGCAAATAAGATTTGACTGATTTTTATACAATGTTTACAGTCAAATTAAATTGCAGGATTTCTCATTCCAGCAACTCTTTTTATTGCCTAAAATTCAGTGTAACTGTTTCTTTAAAATTTGTTTTTATTGTGGAAAATTTCAAATATATATGGACATACAGAGAATAGGACAGTAAACCCACATATACTATCGTTTAGCCTCAATAATTCTCAACACATGGCCAATCCTGTTGCATTTACACCCCAGCTCACTACTCCCCACCCCCTCACACTGCAACCTTGGGTTATATTCAGAAGCACCAGCCAGACATTAATATCATTTCATTCACAATGTACTTGGTTTTTGATGTAAGGTATTATACATGTTTTAAGAATGCTGTCTCTGCCTGGTGTATACCAGGTAATCTGTGGTCAGATTGGTTCCCATCACCCTTTAGAACTAATCCCTTATTAGTTTAGGAAGTAACCTCTCAGACTCTTTTCTATGCAAGTGTATAAATGTAAATACACATATAATTATGCTTTGTTTTATTAAAAAAAAGAGGGGGTCATACTGTAGTTTTTATTACAAAACTTCTTTTTCGCTTACAAATTATAGAAATCTTTCTGTGACAAAACAGAGATCTGCTTCATTCTTTCTAACAGCAGCAGAGTATTCCATTAGAGGTATTTTTTTTTTCCTAACCAGTCCTGTCTGATGAAGCTTAAGTTTCTTCTTGGTTTTTTTCTGTTAAAGCAGAGCTGAATATCACTGGACCTCATTTTTGCATGCCTGTGTATTTCTGTAGGATAGGTTTGAAAAAGGAATTGCTGGATCAGAGATCTTTTGAGATAAAATGGAACTTTTATAAGAATGGCTCAATGCTGGGGCACCTGGGTGGCTCAGTCAGTTAAGCATCTGCCTTCGGCTCAGGTCATGATCCCAAGGCCCTGGGATCGAGGCTCACATCGAGCTCCCCGCTCAGCGGAGAGTCTGCTTTTCCCTCTCCCTCGCCCCATCCCCCCCGCTCACGCTCTCTCTCTCTCAAATAAATAAAATCTTTTTAAAAAATTTAAAAAAAAAAAAAAAGAATGGCTCAATGCTGTTGTTCCATACTGGTAGCTTGCTCTACCCTGTGCTCAAATGCCTTTGCGTGCAGATTTGGAGATCACAATATATGAGCACTGCTTTTTCAATTCACCGTTTGAGGAAAATAGGGAGCCATGGTATTTGTCCTGGAACCATAAAAAGTAAATGGGTGTGTTGCAATGCTGGGCATTGAGGGCCTTTATGCATAATTGACATCTCTAAGACCTTGCAAAAGCGGGAACACCAATGAGAGAGACCGTTGCCAGGCTACGAATTCCAACAGAAGGCAAAAGAGATGGGTGGACAGGCGGGGGTGTCGGGCTGTGTGTGAAGGACAGTATAATAACGGTAATAATCCCTTACGTTTGTACAACACTCTACAGTTTACATAGGGCTTTTACACCCATTTTCTAATTTAAGCTGCACAGTAACCTGTACAAAAATATAAGCAGCCAAAAATATACCATAGAATTTCTGTGGGTGGACATTCTGGATTCTAAAATAATGAAAATGTGGGAATCGTGTTAGCCTGTAAACCACTGGACAAGATCCACTGACCAAACCAAAATGTGAAGACTAATGAAGGTATAGAGGCAAACTAGCTAGCCTCACCAGGCAGAAGTAGTGGGCAGTTTCCATCAGCCACGTGCTGATGAGCATCTCCCCAAGAGGTTCCGTGCCACGAGAACTGCGGAAGACTCACTTGGGGAACTCATCCATGCACGTGTTCCCCAAGAGATTCTGATCAGTGGGTTTGAGGTGGAGC